CCATCTATAAAACATCTTATATAAGTTTTCTTCGTATGCTGTCGATATTGTTAATTTATAATTTCTTTCCCATAGCATCTGCCATTTATCTAATTCTATAGTATACCCAAAATCCTTTGCCCATGCTATCATCATCTCCTTTACTTGCTCTTCTTCTAATTTGACACGTAGCAGATAACAACACAATATTTTAATCAGCTTGTCTTCCATTCCTGTTAAAATTTTATCCAATTCTGTCAACTGCTTATGAATACCTTCAGCTTTAACATCTTTTTCATATCTTGATTGTATTTACATATATGAATACCAATGCATATCAACCCCTTGTTCATTCAGTTCTTGTTTGGTTTTGAGCTCACTCTTTTCATTCAATATATCCTTATATCTAACAATAGTTCCCATTTTACAAACATTTTGAGTGTATAAGTGCTTCCATTGTTGATAACCAGACTGGGTGGGCCAGATCTAAGCATCCCATGGGCCAGACCCGGCCCTCAGAAGTTGAGTTTGATACCCCGGCTCTAGACCAATCTGGCTCTCATGACTGTATGATCTATATACACCTAAAATTCTGATTTATAATCTTCAATTGGGTGAAATTGGAAGAGATAGGACAACCACTATGGAATGAAGGTAACTCAAATGGACCAACTTAACACAGTGCTGGGACCCATGATTCCCATGGAAGTGAAATTTGGGGAAGTTGTTGCCTCTTGAGTGACATTGCACTGCTGTTGTTCAGCATCACTGCCCGCTAGCATGGTCAGCTGCACTCACATGGTCCTCATTTTTTTTTGTTCCTTGACATTTCCCATAATGGGGAAGCTGCAAGAAAGTGATACGATTGCAGATGCTTCTTGCTATCTTCCCACTGGCAAAGTTATGGGAAGCTTACAGAGACAACATCAGTGGAAAACCCAGTAGGGAAGGTCACAAGTTGCTTGGGTAATTGTTTCCCACCACCATGGTGTCCTCCACTCCCTTTGCACTCAGGCTGCACTAGACATTTGTCCATCCCTTTTATCCTTCCCCTACCCAGCAATAACCACTTACTACCTTCGGGGAAGAGAAGGGAAGGAAGAACAAGGAGGAAAGGAGAGAAGAAAAGAATGAGAAGGAAAGGAAAGGAGAAACAGGAAGTTTGAGAAGGAAAAGAGAAAAAAGGGAAGGGAGGAAGAAAGGCCTGAAGGAATAAGTAGAGAGTTAAAGGGAACAAGGAAGGAAAGAGGGTGGGAAGGGAGAAAGGAAGAGTGAGGGAAGGCAGAGTGGAAGGAAAGAAAGCAGAGGGAGGGGAGAGAGAGAGAAAGGATAGTTTGTTATGCACCCTGCCGTCTTCCCACGTGCAACATCAATGGGGAAACCAGCAGAAAGTTGAATGTCACTCCCACCATTTTTTTGGTCATTCTTTTTCTGTTTTGGTATATATATCTCTGAAATGATGACCCAGTGGGTTGTGGGTTGTCTGGTACATGCAAAATGAGGACCTAGATTGTTGGGTGCAATATGCTGACTAAAGCAGTATATAAGTGCTATTGCTATTAAAGATCCAAGTCAAAGTGCCTTATTTTGGTCATTGACCAGTCAAGTCTACTATAAAACATAGGAATAAAAGAACATAAACTATCTAACAAGATCAATAAAAGACAACAGGGTAAAGGATATATTGAATACAGCCAGAAAGGTGAAACTTTCTTAGTTCCAACAAGCCACTTTGAACACTGAGATCAAGAATACTAAAGCTTCATTAAAGTATCATAAATGTACATAAAGCTTTTAAGCTGGAAACAAATAAACAAAAGAGGCAACAATTATAGTACTGCTATTACTAAACTTAACTTAACTAATGAGTACCTGTCAAATCTCACTATTAATCAAAACCTATAACATTGCTCTAGTCAGTTAAAAAAACAATTGAGATAAAAGATTTTAAAAAATACAGCCTGGATATTGAATTAGTGAAAGTCACAGATCTTCTGTCACAGATCTTAGTAAGATTGACAGTAAAGAAGCACATCAGGTGTTCATTCAATGGCTTCTGAGTTAAGCATGAATTACATGGGATTTTATGGAATCTGCCTAGAACTTTAATTTGGAGAGTGTTGCAGTATACGTTCATCGTTTTAGTATGATGATCACATTAAGATGTCTGACAGATTTATGATAGCAACTTGGTTCCCTAATTGATCTTCACCAGGACTCTGATTACCAAGAACAGAAACAATCAGGGACTTAAGAAGAAACAGCTAGGAGAGCCCTATTCACCTCCTATACAGAATCTGTTGCCAACAGTGATAGATTCATTTGCACAGTGGTAAAATGGGTCCTTACCCCATTCCAGAAGCCTGATAAGAGACCACTAAGGCATTTAGATGTGTTAACAGTGATTTTCCAAATGAACACTCAAGAATCCAGAATATGAGGGGTTACAAATATTCAGACTTTATTATAAATAAGAAATACTGTTTTATACAAAAACTGCCAAGTGTTGCATTTTTGTTGTTTTTGTTCACTGCTCCTAAGCAGCAAGACCAGAGGTTGAAAGCAAAAAAAAAAAAAAAAGGGAGTGAAGGCACATACAAGAGGTGCTCACAGGTGTGTGTGTGTGTGTGTGTGTGTTTTAAATGAGGGGAATTCTTCATGAGGTGTTTCCTGTGGCACCTATTTGTATATTTCTGTGAGCAGCTGTTGCATTATTTTGTTATGCAAAGTAATAACTTGGACCTATACAAATGTGATAATGGCTATTATTAACACAGTATTTAAGAGATTCCATATAAATTCTCATTTATTTAAAAAATAAAACAAAATCTGTTACTTAAACCCAGTTTGTTTGTTTTTTTAAAGGGAAAAAAAGGGAAAAATGCTAGGAGGGCAATGAAAAGGCCAGAAGCACACAATTTGGATTCAATTTTGTTACTTTCTTTAAAATATATATATATATATATATATATATATATTCTTATCTTTTTGGCAGGTGATACTGTTAGAATGCAGCCATATGACTGGCTTGGTCAAATGGAAAATACTGGTGTCATTTTTTGATTAACTGCTTCATGTATGAATACAAGGAGGATACAAGTACAGTTTGGGTGAGCGGTTAGAATTGAAGGCACTAGGAAAACATAAACCAAAGTCGAAGCTCAACTTTTATTTTTCTACACCAAGGTACGTGTTGAAAACTGAGCTCAAGATCTGCTAGTGGGCCTACAGCAACAATCCCACCCTCAGTATAGTAGTGTGACTGATACCTGTCCAAGAAATACATAAAGAGCTCGTGTGCTTATAACCGTTCTTGATTTCCTTCTGTATAGAAATATGGTGTGCCTGGAAGGAAGGGATCTAGAGTTTAACCTGTTTCCTGACATGATTGTCTTCATTGGGGGAGATTTATCTGTGAAAAGAAGAGCAACATTATATTGTCTACAGAAGCCTAGCAAGAAGCTCATAGCCATAACATCAGAATCAGTTCAAATTGTTAATGGAAACCAACAAGACAATCCAGAGAAGCTTTGGAATTCAAGTGATATTTTGCTCCCGCTATAAAAAAAGGGGAGATAAATCCAGATCGGCTTCCTATTTTGCACCATGCAGAATCTCAGCTGACAAAGTATCACTAAAAGGGCCCCAAAATATGTTACCACTTCATGAATGATAGGGCCCCAAATGCTTTGGGCATCAGTGCTCGTTTTAAGAAGAAATGGGCAAGTAGTTGGCCCTCCAGGGAATATACAGGGGGCGGGAGGAAATGAAGTTAGTCTCACAGAACATATTAAAGACCAATATGGGAATGCAATGGGACAGGTCTGGTCAGAGGAAATGCTCGATCACTGCCACCACCCCTGCAAGGCACATCAAGAGGAAGGAGGAAAGGGCGAAAGTAGGGTGTTAATTATGAAGAACTGCAGGGGAACTGTTCCTCTCTAGAAACAAAGACCAATTATATTTACACAGGGGAAGAGGAGAGAGAAACAGATGTCCTCACACAAATAGCCATGATTTGAAACAAAGACACGAAACCCCCACATTCACACAAAAATATAACTTTGAAATAATTAATAGCACCAGTGTGTGTCAGGTAATAAAAATTTCTTCCCCTCTACGCAAACGTACAAAGTTGCATAGTGTTGAAGGCTTGGTACACACAGTTCTCAAAAGGCGGGGAGGGTGGGCGGGGCTGGAAGCATCAGACCACACTAATGAGGAAGCATCGGAGGCTGACACGATTTCCTCTAGTTCAAGATGATGTATGAGAGATTATGAAGAAAACCACCTTCCACCTATAAATCTTTCCCAAATAGAAAAGAGACAAAACTTCTAAACAGGACAGACATTCGTACTGAGTTGCAAGCAACTCAGCTGGTCAATACTGCAACTTCTAAATATTTGCCCCTAGAATTAGGCCTGACCATTTTTCTTGTTTTGTCAGGGGGAAAAAAAAACAGCTCAAACTTTACTGGGATTCAGTACTTTCTGACTTGATATAAAGAGAACTGCAAAATCCTTTGGGCTTGTTTTGACCAGATAAAGTTACAACAGTTTCATATTTCGGAGGGAAACATAGCAAGTAAAGTTCTTTCTAAATGAATTGCTCCCCCCACTCCAGTCAAATGTAAAGAGAATGTTAAAATCTCTTTTTCATTTTTAAGAGAGGAAAAAAAAATCTGTCCAGTGACAGGAACAATTCTGGCCAGAAGCAGGTTTTTCCAATTAAAACTGAAGCGCCTGACTTTATCCTTACAGGCCCAAATGCATGCCTGCTTTACAGGCCAAGCTTTAGCACCATGTAAAACTAATATACCACTCACGACTCCTTAAAAGCATTTCTGAGAACTGTCTCGGAAACAAGATACACATATACATATTGCACACTAGAAAGGTTCTTAAAAGATGGCAGCTGGCTACCAAAGCGTCAAGTGGCTACTAGTTTAAGAATAAGCCTTTTCTCCTTTTGGGGGGAGAATGCCAATTCTGAAACCCACCTGCATTTCTCGGAATGGGTGGTCATCCTGGCCATTGCTATTTAATACTTTGGTAGCCAAACCATTTCCTTCATAGATCAACGACAATTTGCAGGAGGGAAGGAGATACAGGAATGGAAAAGAGGATGAATAAAAGAGCCTGTGTTTGTGCCCTCCCTTACTTCAGTTCTCGGTACAAGTCCATCATACTGTAAATTAAAATTAAAATTTCTGAGAAAAAGAATGTAGAGTGTTTGAGCAAAGAAGCGTATAGAGTGTATGTCTTGATATCTTTCTGATGCCCCAAGGCTGGTAATTAAATTGCTTTTAGTTCATATAAACCTCCCAACCCCAAATTAGGAAAGAATGAACGACTGAACTGTGTGGGAGATGAGGTCAAGGTCCTGAAGAACATCATCTAGGAATTAAGGCACTCCACAGCCAAAACTGTTTCACCAGTCACTGAGGGAATGCCCCCACCCTGCCCTTGGCACACCCTTAGGGTTTTTCAATGTGTGGGGTATTGAAACAGCCACTTGGCAAGGTCTTCTTGATGTCCTCTAGATTGTTAATGTCTTTCAAAATGGTGCTGATGTCCCTGTTGTATTCACTGATGGCACTAGCTTGCTTTTCAGCTGCTTTCTCCAGTTCAGATACTTTCCGATCTAGATCACTATCCTTCATCTGATTTTTTGCAGCATTTAAAGTATCTTCAATAGTGCTCAGCTGACTCTGGTCCACAGGTTCCACCCGTGCTACAAAGATGGAAAAGTACAAAGTTAGGAAGCCCCCTTAATCTATTACAAAAAGCTATTTCCAATTACCAGATTGGAGAGAAAGACTGAATCTCTAATAGCAGTATAACATTGAATGGCCTTTTGCTAAGTTTATTGTTGTTGTGTTTTTTTTTAAAGAAACAATAAGATCACCCAAACTTGCTAAACTACACTAGAAGGGAACAGTTTCTTTAATTTTGCATTCCAATTGTGAAATCCCCAGCTTTTGGGGTGGGGGTGGGGATTTGTGAATCAAAATATAGTGATATTTGTACTGGGCCACAAACTCACACAATTCAAGTTTCTTTTAAATGCCTCCTCAGAAACTCAAATTTTGTAGAAGTTGTAAACTTCTGTGAATATTTGTATTACCAATTGATGTGTATTTAATTTAATATCCTCCAAATGTTTAGACTATAATTTCAAGCACCACTTCGCAAATAACTTTGCTAGCTAAGATTCATTAGGTTGAGGATCAAAACATCTTGAAGAATAGCCAAAGGCAATAACCTGACTCATTTAGGGCAGAATTTTCTAGTAAATCATCAGCTAAAAGGAAATATATATATAGAGAAATATACCTAATTTTTCAAGAAGATCATTAATCATGTTCAGCAAACTGTTCACAGAGCTCTTTGCCTTCTTTGCATTATCTTCTGCTTCCTGAGCTGCTTGTGTAGCCTGTAACATTAAATGTAAAGTATGCATCTTATCCAATGTCTCATGGGTGAACACATAGCTATGTGGAATGATGGCATGTCCTACTACCAAACTTAGAGATTGGATTGGGATGTCCACTTCTACAAATTCCATGTTAAAATCACTGAATAATGATCTCACTAATATCAATTTACTATCGTTGATGCTTGATCTCATATCACTTCCATAATATGACAAATGCCATAAGGAACAAGATAGCCAAAGGAGGAATATTATGTGATTTCAATGGTAAGAAGAGTTTTGCAATCTCATGACAAGAAACATATGTACTTTTACCTAGTTAAAAAAGATTAAGAATAGCACATTGCGATCTCTATATAGATGAGAATCTTAAACAACCGAATGTTTTTTTTTTTAGCAATCATAGTTACTTACCATTCCTGCCATCATCATATCTTGTTCAGCAGTTTGTTGCTTCTTCTTTAACTCTTTCTCTGCTTCTGTCAATTGCTTTAGCATGTCATCAACTTCTTTGTCCAACTCGGTAACAGTCTTAAAGGTGTTGTCTGCAATCTCCTTTGTGGCACTAGCATTCTAGGATTGGCAGAAATCAAATTCTTAAAGATACTGAACACATTCCAAGATTAGAAAATTAGACAGCAAAAGCCAAGCAACACAGAGGACTGTTTACTTATTTCAACAAGGATCCACGTGCATTTGCACTTAACAGATTCCTTAATTTAATAGTTTTATTAATGCCATAAGAACATTTATGAAAGACCTCAAGCTTTTTAGTCCAGTCATTCCAAAATAGTCAATGACTATTTGTGAATCTTGGTAATTTTCATAATTTTCTTGTCATAATTTTCTCTAACCAATGCGGAAACCATTGCTCTAACCACTGGGTCAGAGCATATTCCCATGACTTACATTATTTACAGACGTAGCAATTCTCTCAGCATCATCAGCTTTGTTTTTAGCTTCTCTGGCATCAGCAGCCGCATTGCCTAGTGTCAATTCTGCTTGCCGAGTCTTACTGTTTGCGTCCATAATGGTCTGGGTAATGGCAGGAATTTTCCTAAGAGCTTCCTCGGCAGCGGTCTTGTTATCATTCACACGTTTATCGAAGTCTGAAACCAAGAGAAAAGCAAAGTGCAGCTACAGCAGATCATACAAAAATCTATTCAGTCCAACGTTTCAGTCCAATGGCAGTTAAATTAACCCCACTGGCAGTTTGCAAAAGCAAAGATGAAAATCATAGTATTCTTTATCATTTGTCCCAGGATGTCATCATCATCATCCCTATTTGTTACTATGCAACACTTTATTTCAATACTGAAATAAAGGTAAAAGTTTCCCCTTTCTAGTTGTTTCCAACTCTAGGAGGTAGTACTTATTCGTGTTTCTTAGCCAAGGGAGCCAATGTTATCCGAAGACATTTCCAAGGTCATTTGGCCACATGACGTTATGCCAAGGCGCATAGAATCCTGTTACCTTCCCACCAAGTGTATCTATCTATCTATTTGCATGCTTTTGAACAACTAGGTGGGCAGGAGCTGGGGCAAATAAGGGAAGCTCATCTCATGATGCGGTGCTTGGCTTTCAAATGCAGACCGTCAGCTTTCCAGCTGTCAAGCTCAATGTCTTGAAATATTATTTAGCTATCATTGGCTGACATATTCTCACTACAGTATATTCTATAGGACAACCACCACCCCTTTTCAAACTGAGGTGAACATAATACTTAAGTTTTACCAACTCCTTTGTTTTATACTTGTTTCTAAAATCTTAATTTATATATAGCTTTAATTCTGAAGCAATTAGTTGGCTTGTGTCTGAAATACATGATGCAAACTTGCATCGGATGACTGTAACATCCAGCTTCATATTGTCTGTACTTGCCTTGCACATATTTATGCACTACAGATGCTTTAGAACACAATTTCCATCAGCCCAACCAATGATCCAAGATTATGAGAACTGTGACCTAAATTTTTGGAAGGATGAAGACATGGAAGGCTGCCTTATTCTTACTGACAGTGACTATTCACAGTTTCAAATAGAAGATGTCTTTCTTATTACTATTTGGAGATGCTGGGAGTTGAGTCTGGGAACATCTCCATGCAAAACACATTCTCCACCACTGAGCTGCAATTCCTGGGAAACAACAAGGGTCCACATGATTGCTTACTCTTCCTTCAAAAAAAAAAAAAGAAATCTGGGAACACAGCGTGAAGCAAGGAAATGAATTTTTCAGTGCTGCAGGCATTGCCCATATTTCCAAGAACAAGTATGAGCTATACGTGAGTTGCCCAGGAATTTTTAGAAAAAAAAATAGTGGTTACTTTGAAACATTCTAAGGTACTTTTGTGTCTTGCCCAGTTTTTTCTTGCCTGTTATTGTGCATTTTGCTATTTTGTGTGTACAGAGGTATTTTATCTATTGTAGATTTTTGTGCCTGGTATGTACATCTTTAAGAATTATCAATTTTTTTTCTTTTTGTGGAGGTAAATATGGTTTGGCCTTGGGATTCAGATCCCACTTCTGCCTTGTGTTCAAGTCCTTGGTCAAGAATTTGTTTCTGTGTCTCACTGTTCCTTTTATAAAACAGGTTTTATAGCAAGCAAATAATGATGGTTTTAAAAATTATTTTCCTTTTAGCTCATTGATTTGTTTTTCTGGAAGGTCCATGTTTTATCATTGGCTGCGCTCACTATGGCATGTGTTTTGCAAGAGTATCACAAAGCTAAGTAAAAAGTCTTAAAGGATTTAGGAACCTCTGCCCTTTTCTGCTTGCTGATTTCAATTACTAGTTCCTAGTCTTACTTCCCAAGATTCCTGTCCATTCCTAGGAAATTGAATTCTGCCTTTCCCACAAAGTGACACACAACTTTCCTTTAAATAGAACATATTCAACCATAAGAAGTTGTAGAGATAGATACGGTAAGAATCAGAATAACAGACCTAGCGAGACAACACCTTGATTCCTGCTCAAAGAGAAGTCTATTCTGGCAGGACATCCTGCCATTCTGTCACATGGCTCCTCAGGAAGTTAGGCTGCCTACCTTTCAAATTGTTGAGGATCTCATTGGCCTCCCGGAGTGTGTTGCTTCCCTTCTTGGCAGCTTCTTCAGCCAAAGCTTTGGCAGCATCTGCTCGAGCCAAAAGCTGATCAGCAGTCTAAGCAAATACACAGCAAGTTATCATATGCTCCTTTCTGACATCACCTGGTCAAATTCTAATGCTCAAACGGCGCGAGCACAAGAAAAGCAATCAGTTGAAAAATGCAAGGCCATTTTCTGGATTTATTTCTATTCTATCAAAGGAAGTTTAACTAGATGCAAGAAAGGGTAAGTTCCCTAAACTACCCACAGTTCTAGCCAATCATTATCATATGAAAAATATGATAATCATGTAGTATCATTCCAGTAGTTATAAAATGAAAATCAAACTATATTTAAAAACAAGTGATATGTAGCGCAATCTTTATGTTGACAGACTCTATATCTCAAAAAAATAATAATAATGATCAAGCAGTAGTTCTGCAATATGTGGCAATTGTGAGAGTGAATACATAGACCACACAGCATCCATTCTTGACATATCAGGGAAAAGAATTTACGTTAGTTATAACTGACCTGCTGCTCTGTCTTGCCTTTCTCCAAAAGATTTTGAACTTCCAATTCTTTCTCTCTCATATCTTCTCTCAGATCTTCATAATTTCTTAGTTTGTCTTTAATGAGCAGTTCTAACTCCTGCGCTTCCTCTTTGATATTCTTTGCCTCATTCTGCAAATGGAGAAAAGACAGGAAGAAAAACAGCTTCAGTAAATTTAAGAAACCTAGACTGATATATCATCCTACACATTCAAGAGACTCTTCTTATAAAACTATCAGCTGATGAACTGGATCAAACGCACCCCTTAAAGAGATTCCAGACCTGATGTAGATCTCATTGTGCTCTCTGTAGCAACATCTTTGATTAATGGGATGCTGAAGATGTTGTCTTCAGGAATGCTCAAGAATCATAATCTTTTTCCACAATTTTTTTTTAAAAGTTACACAAAATAAATGGACTGGGCGCTTGCCACTATGCCCAGTGCAGGCCTTCTCCTTCAAATCCTTTTTGCTCTCTCTAATGTATTAAGATGAAAGAGAGGGTTATGCAATGTTTTAATAAGGACTCAAGATACGCCTTGGGTGCTGATGTAAGCATAAGTAATGAAAATATACAAAATATACATGTAGCAAATTTGACTTCCTATGGTTTCCACTATTTCTGTACAATCGAAAAAACAGAAAACTGAAATAAGGAGGTTATTACCTCTGCAAGGAAAAATCATGGGTTTGCCAAGCTATTTCATAGATGTCTTTCCAATTTATGTATTTGTTTGTGGTCATAGGAGGTCTTAGGAATAGAGACCTCAAAAAAAGCTAAATCATGGTTGAACCTGATTAGTAATTAGGAAGAAGATCTTTAGAAAATCCTGGATGGTAAACTAGACTGGGAAATGAAAAAAATATTCTAGTATCAAGTCCTTAGCACATGACTATAGAAGCTAGATTCACACTGATTCGCGAATTTTAAATCAGATTTAATGCCAAGAAAAAAGGATTGGCTTACAGTGTCTTGGAAACTAGGTATGTATACTACAGCCCTCTTTTACTGGTTATGTATGTAAAGACAGAATAACTCTGAGCCATCTAATCCTTTTTACAGACTTCCCTAATCGATACATACCTTGTTTAAGAGTTAAATCTGAAAAAAAAAAAATTCCTTCAAGTCCTCATCTATCCTGTTTTGAAAATGTTTCCCTTTCCTAGATCCAAGAATGCTGATACACTCAGAAGAAAATGAAAAGTGACACCTGCATTTTCAAGAAAAGGATATGGATGTGTCTGCGTAATCAATACTAGGCTGGATGCATTTGAGAACAATTTTACCTACTTGCCAAATTGTATCCATATTAGATAGCTTTAAAATATTCTACAAACTTTGATCTCAACTTGGGGCTATTCTGTCTTTTGCATGATTTGTTTTAAAAAGCATTTCATAAATAACTCCTCAGCCGAAGTTAAGCTTCAAGTATTGTCATCTAAGATTATGCCAGTACAGCCGTTTGCAAGATTTGCTAACCATAATATCTTAAGTTCCTTCAGCAAGGAGCCCATCTCAAAATACCTCTAGCCCTGCAGTGTCTATGGATGGCAGAGTGGTGAGATTTGCGTAGATCTGTAGAGCTTTTTCCCCAGCTTCTTTTGCTTCTGCAGAGACCTTATTTGCCTGCTTTTCTAGGTCTCGGGCAATATTCTTTGCTTGGTTATACCTAAGAAACAAAAGGATTCCATTAGAGCTCTGTGTGGTTTATTGGCCTAAGGCTGGCCTGAGAAACATCTTTGTAGCCAATGATCATTCTTGGCTATTTTGGGGGATGTTGAGATCTACAACATGAGTAGGACCATGTGTCACACGAAAACATGAAGACTCCTCAGCTTTAAGAATATTGTTTTTTTTCCTTTGATCTTGATATTCAACTTTTTTCCAAGAGAAACTGTAACCCAAATGGAAAGAGGAACTCAATGGCAGAGCACAAATGTTTTGCCACAAGAAAGTCTTCGTTAAAGCCATCATATCATCTCTTAGAAGAGAGAAAGAAAGACTTTCCTTCGTTCCAGATTGACCTCTGGTGCAGTGGTGGGATTCAAATTTTTTTACTACCGGTTCTCTGGGCATGGCTTGGTGGGCGTGGCAGGGGAAGGATACTGCAAAATCTCCATTCTCTCCCCACCCCCACTAACCTGCTTTCCAGCTCCGTTCTCCTGTGCAGGGCAACAAAAGAAGATCCAGCTAATCAGTTGGGCTTCGGAAGCAGAGAATAAATGGGGGCGGGGCCAGTCAGAGGTGATATTCCGAACTACTCAAAATTTCCACTACCAGTTCTCCATTACTGATCAGAACCTGCTGTACACCACCTCGGCTCTGGAGGCTATGTGAGGCTATGAGAGCACAAACCGTGAGAGCACAAATGTGACATATTCTGTGATATCTTTACAGGCAGTTATAACTGTCACAACAGCACTAAAAAAAGTGACTAAGGATCATTTCTTTACACTTACAACCATTACAGCAACCCCATGGTCACATGATCAAAATTCGGGAACATGGCAATAGCCATGTATTTATGATAGTTGGGCTGCCCCAGGATCATGTAATCACCATTTGAAAAACTTTGCAGCCAACTTCTGACAAGCAAAGTCAATGAGGGAAGCTGGACTCACTTAACATCTGCACTGATTCACTTAACAATTGTGGCAAAAAAAAGATTGTAAAATGGAGCAAAATTCACTTAACAACTGCCTTACTTACCAATGGGAATTCTGGGCTCAACTGTAGTCATAAGGTGAAGACCATCTGTAACTATTAAAAAACTGAGGCAACGCCACTATTAATGTGCTGGGTTTAAATGAAAAAGAACAGACTCAAATCTGTCTGCTGCTTTGGAAGTTTATTGGTTGACATCAAGCCAATCCTTCTTAGTCTAATCTACCTCAAAAAGCTCTGAATGAAATAGGAGGAATAAGTATTATGTAAATTGGTTTGAGTTCTGAGAAGAAAGGTGTGGCTCAAACATAATAAATAATTAACTACCTGTAGGACAATTTCCAACAATCAAGCCAAATTTCACTTTGTTGCTTTCTATATTGTTAAAACTGGAAGTTAGTATTAATTTGCTTGAATCATCCAGTCCAGGGGTGTTAAACTCACGGCCCGCGGGCTGGATGTGTCACACACTGGCTACCCCCACCCTGGTTTAGCGAAGGGGAAAAAAGTAGTGCTACATCACATGATGATGATGTGACGATGTGAGTTTGACACCCCGATCTAGTCCTTAATCTTCCAGTTTCCAAAATCAGCAGTCCCAAATTTATTGACGCTGACACAGAGGTGGTATTCAGCAGGTTCTGACCAGTTCTGGAGAACCGGTAGCGGAAATTTTGAGTAGTTCGGACAACCAGCAAATACCACCTCTGACTGGCCCCGCTCCCATCTATTCGCTGCCTCCCGAGTCCCAGCTGATCGGCTGGGTCTTCTTTTGTTGCCCTGTACAGGAAGACAGAGCTGGAAAGCAGGTTAGTGGGGTGGGGAGGGAATGGGGATTTTCCTTTCTCTGCCATGCCCTTCCTCTGCCATGCCCACCAAGCCATGCCCACCAAGCCAGGCCATGTCCATAGAACTGGTAGTAAAAAATTTTGAATCCCACCGGTGAGCTGACAGCTACCAGCTTTTCTACAAAAACTATAACAAAGCATTTGCCTTCAAGTTTATGCTTCACAGAACTACATCTCTTGGAAATGCATCTTAACTAGTATTTTTCAACCTTAGCAGCTTTCAGGTGTGAGGACTTCAATTCCACATTTTCTAGATTTGTATGAGAGCAATGTATTTCCTAGGAACCTATATTTGAGCAACGTATTTCCTAGAAACATATAAGAGCAATGCGTTTCCTAGAAAGATATTCATATTCTTACCCTTAAAACTTCCAAAGCAAACCAAAGCAGGCCCCCGAAAAGAGGGGGAGGACAACTTGGAGATATTAAAATGTGGCCATTTTAATTTCGCAATTTAGTTTCAGCAGCCTGATCTCATGATACTGAGAGCTACATGCAGCCTCTAACTAGTCAATACCCATGAGAAATGTCTTGCATCCATTCTGGATCTTGTCTACTTGGTCCCACAAAATCTTTATTTTTTTAAAAAAAATAGCTCATTTTTTGCATACAGCTTGCAAGGAGATCCTGTGTTGTCTTGGGATAAGTTTCATAAGCGGTGTGTAGCACTGCTATTACAAGGTGTTTACCAAGAGGCTGTTAGGGCTGGGCAAACTTATTTTGATGATGTCATTGGTGGGGTTCTCAAGCCCAAAGCTAAACACTTGTATTCCAAGTCTTGGCTTTAATCTCAGATGCTCAATGGTTTGAGCAGCATCGTTTCAAGTGGGTTGATTGTTCTGAGGTGATTCTTCTCCTCATTCCATTCCTCCCACCCTGATCTAAATACAGCAGCAGGATCGGTAATGCCCCTGCTGTTATTTGTTTACACTGAACTGAATATTAAGTTGAGAGAAAAACAGCAGGTAAGGTAGGACAGAAGAAAAATGCTTACAGCCATAGATCTGTCAGCTTGCCTAGTAATTTACTGCTGTTTTTTAAAATGCACGTCCTATGGGGAAGCTAGAATTCATGTGTATTCCTTGCATGGGGGGAAGGGGTGTCGTACAGTTTTTATTTATTTATTTGTAGGCAGGCAGGCAGACTTGCCTGGAAAAAAAGCAGATGAAAGAAGATGGGGTTCAGTGTATTATTCAAAATAGAGAAGATTTGGGTTGGTTTGTTGAGTTTTGGAGAAGATTTGCTCTGTATATGCTCTTAAACCTGCTAATATTAAGCTTTCAGGGAAAAGACTTTTGTATAATTTCAAATATGGATTTCTACATATATTGGTTTCAGAGCAAGGAGTCTCATTGTTTCCCATGACTGAAATCCTGGAAATACTTCAAAGTTTTGTCTCTGTCAGAAGCCAACTCTGAACAATCTAATGGAATGTATCCAGTGCAGCTGTTTTATAGCAAGCTTGAACATATTTCTTGCTTGATATACATTGCTAGTGGTCATCTTTCTGCAGGTAGAAAGCCGCCTAAGAAGGAAATCATGGGTTGTGAGTAATGCTGATTGGTCACAATTAGTGGGGAATCTGAACAATTATTTATTTCACAAAAAATCGCCTGCTTATCACTTATCCTGACCACTCTTGACTGCAACATCGTACTCATAGACAGGGGAAACCATGTTAAGAGTCACAATACTGCTATCGTATATAGAGCAATGCCTTATATAGCAATGTCATATATAGATCAGGTGGTCCCCCTGGGGATTGCTATTGTTATTGTAGTTGTTCTCTTCCATCTTGTTACTAATATAAGCAGGAAATAGTCAGTATATGGATCTATGTTTGCATGGAGAAGCTGACAAAGGATCTCAGAAACTTTTTCTCCGATCAAATCCTCCCCATTTTGGCCCATTCTTTTTCTTCTTGCTTTTCCTGTCCATTAATGAGCTACTTTTTTCTTCTGTTCTTTATTGTTGCTTGCCATCTTATGTTTATTTGATAATTTTATTAATTGGTTGGTCATCACTGAAGTGGGACACTGAAAAATATATTTAAAGTCTATTGTACAAATGCTTTTCTGTATAGTTACCATTTAAAATTGAATGATGAATAAAAAGGGTGTGCCTGTTTCTATTTAGTACATTTGGTCAATAAATAATGTTGCTATAATGTTTTATTTCAACAAGAGAACCTCAGCAGCAAATATATAATAAAGAGTAAAAATAAAGTTCTTGTCCTGTAAAATACAATTAAAGTGCATTTCAATACTCCTGTAGTTCATAGATATCCCTCTTTGAATTCTTCAGACTGAGACAGGGGTTAAGAAATAAAAAGAGAAACTACTCCTCTTCACAACTCTTTAAACCACCAGGAGTACTCTAACTCTGAAAAGCAATTCAGATATTTAAAACAAAACAACCAGAAGCATTAGATGTTTCCATGTTAGACTTACTTTCTATTTAGATCACCGATGTCATTAGTTGTTTCATTCTCTCCTGCTAGTGTGTCCAAGAGTAGTTTATACGCTTGTGATGACGTATCATTTGCTTCCTTGGCTATTTTCTCAATATTATCGGCTTCCGCTTTATGCCTGGGACCAAAAAATGGAAAACATTATTTGAAATATGCTATTATTTGTATTTTCCTCTCCAAGTATCATCATCATCATCATGCATGGTTTCTAATTTACTATTCTTCAACTGCACGGCTTGAATTGTTGATTCTGTTGATAACTAACCCAATCCAAGTTGAACAAGACCCTGTTCGTGTAACAAATATACCATCATGGAAATTTTGAGAGTGGGCTGATTTCTGGCCTAGCATGGTGTCCTGGAGAGGAAGCAGCGGTGCAGTTTTCATTCTATGCTATCTCAGGTTCATGCTTCCATTGCCTCTGGTTTCCACCTTTGACCTAACTCTGCAGAGGCCTGCCTTCCCATCTGTTGGGAAAGGATTGCCACAAAGATTCTGCTCTAAATCTTGTGGAAGATTACTTCATCCCCATTGTTTAACAGTATTGCTTAAATAGGAAATGAGTGACGCATAGTGGTGAAGGGGAGGGGAGGAGGGGCATGCTATGACAATAGACTGAAAGTCAGTTCGCTAGGACATGTTAATGCCCTCAAACCAGAAGATGGAGAAAAAGGCCTGGCAAATGCGGTAGTCAGTTTGAGCAACTGAGTCGCAGAATGCCATAATCATACTAGAGACATACTGTAGACTAGAAGTAGGATTTTTCACTCTCTCAGAGTCCCTTCTTCTAAAATGTCTTCTATTTAAAATCAGAATGAATCTATTAAGAATTAGAATTATGTTAAAATATAAAATACAAGTGCGGCCCACATTTTCCATGAATGGGAAAATCAGGGGATTCCTTCATTTTAAATAAAAACAAGCGGACAGCCCATTCTTTCCAAGCTAATGCTTGTCACATATAAACTTTAAAGAGAAAAGCTGCATACAGTATATGTCTTTTTACAAGTAATGCAATATATATGTATGTATGTGTAGTTATACAATAGATAAGATGTAACCTTTAGTTAGAGTATACTTAAATAAGCAACACAATTCAAAAAAAGAGTAATACTGTATAACTGCCCCATTATGGGTTTCTTACAATCAGTTCTTTTCAGAGCAGAAAAGAGAAGGGAATGTTGTTGTTTTTTTAAAGGAATGAGATTTGGGGATAGAAAGAATATGGAAATAGACAACACTTCCTCCACAGGATTGAAGAGGAGAACTTATGATGAAGGTGGTGTAGAGAAGTTACCATTTAATGCATGATGGAGAAAGGTTAAACAAAGACGATAGCCTTGGGTACCCCAACAGTCTGCCAAATAGAGGCAGGATTAAGATTATCCAGGGGAATAAAGATAAAGGAGGCATCTCTCACCTTGCAGCCAATTGGCGAGCTTCTTCTGCCAGGATAGTCATGTTATTGGGGTCACTGGTTGATTCTGGTGGAGTGATAGACTGAAAGAGGAATCATAATACTTTCAAAAACCATCTCTTGCATTTTACAATACTATAAGCGGATAACAGTTACTTGTATCAGAGCTAAGAAACAGAGAGGTGTGCTAAATCTGGTAACCTTGTGTTGTTCCTCTATTTTCTCTGAACCCTGCCGTGCTGAAGTTTGACCTGCCCTCGTTTCCTGCATCCTTCCACCACATGCAGGACGCTAATGCTGGATTAATGACCACAAGTTTAAAATGGAAAAATTGGAAAATCAGCAAAGCAATCAATAACTGTCAAATTAATCAGACTGATAAAAATCAAGTTATACTTTTTCTGCGTCCTTCCCTTCTAGACACCCGTTTGTAAATCAATGATGAAAAATGGGACTGCATATTAGTTTTCTACATAACCCCATTCACAAAGCAACTGTAAAAGAAATGGAATCGGTCACTGGAATTTCATGAAGCTGTTTCAAAAACGCAAAAATTCGGAAAGGCAAGGAGTAGGTCAATGTTTCTCTGTCTGTTCAATGCATTTGTTAAAAATAAAGAAAAACATGATTGTTCTTAAAACAGTTTCACATGGTGTACTGATAGAAAAAAATGTGCTGGGGAAGAAAAGCACATCTTCATGAAGTGCAGCCATGCTTATTTGTATGTGGGTGCAAACGATTTCACGAAGGTTTCCTTATGAATACCAATCTTGGTACCCGATTGCAGAGAGAATTGTTTTATATTTGTTTTATAAATGTTTTATATTCAGCCAAAGGGCAATGCAAGCAATGCCCCATTACTTGATGGAAATGATTCAATTCCAATCTCTGAGGTGGGGATACAGAAAGGAGAAATTAGGGTTTTCCTCTCAGGGCTTCTACATGAAGTAATGAGACAGTCTTTTTGCATTGTTCAACTGCTTTGGTTTAACCGAAGCATCTTCCACAGAAGACTAGTAAAGTCGAACGGGTGCTTCCAAATGATGTGGTAGCATCACTCTGGTACCTAAATGAGGGGGCCCATGTTCTATGTCAAGCCACCCTGCAGGAGTCTTTGGTCAAAGGCTTGATCAAGGCCAAGAGAACCTTCAAGACTTTCCACATACCCACCTCAGCAGTGCTTGAAAACGTTCTGCAGCAGGGCCATCTTTTGATCTGCACTGGGACCCATCAAGTTCTGCACATTGGACAATCTTGTGTAACATAGCAAAAATATACTGCATCTTTATTTTGCATCTTTAGTTCATCTGAGAATCTCCATCTCCGTTATAAGTCCATCTTACAATTTTACTAGGTATTGCTCAGCTTTCATCATTTCCCAGCATGATTCACAACCTTCCCCCCCCCCCCAAAAAAGTGGGGGATAGACATTTCAGGGAGGAAATAAGCCACATTCATTATGCAAGTCAATGCTGTAGTAAAGATTTGATTGAGCAACATTCATTTTTCAAAAGTATCATTCTAGCACTCATAAATGATGAATTCCCTCATGAGGTGTGAAATCTAAAGAGAGAATGCAAATGTCACTCACCACATTGGCAATAGCCATCCTTGCCCTGTGGAGCATATTTGAAGCACTGTCAATCAGCCCCTCAGTGTTTTTCACCTGGGCTTGGGCTTGCACAGCCAGGCTTTCTGTCTGACTAACTGTATTCTGGATGTTCCTCAACCGACCAAGTTGACTTGAAAGGGTTCTGTTAATTTCCAGCAGACGATCCATCAGCCCCTGGTCGACATCTGGAATGAGCAAAATAACAATAAGTCACACAAAGAAACTAACAAACAGAAGTTTATTGTTGCATGTTTTTACCACTAATGGATTTTATGAAACAAGAGAATGGGTACTTCTTGCCTCAAACAGAAAAGTGGCTTATAAATCCAATGAGGTTGGATTAAGGTTTTTTGGGGATTTGCAAAAATCATGACCATAGAAAATATGAAATACTGAGCATAGATTTTTATATAGGAGCTTCACAAAGTGATCTTTCACCCAAGAACAGTGTGGATTTTGTACATCTTCAGAGGAAAGAATTCTCTACTAGGACCAAATGCAGCACATCAGATAATTCAGTAAGAAATATTCTACTGGGTTTTTTCCTCCCAAATTATCTTTTCTGTAAAGTTTTTCACTTATTTCTAACACAAATCAAGTTGAATGTATCTGCTAACATACATGACCTTTGCTATCTTTTTCTCTTCCGAATGACACAGTATAGTTTTAAAATAACGGGAAGCAGAAATTTTAGGTTTTGTGGGCTTAATAAGGTTCCAAGAAGCACCACTGATGTACATAAACAAAAATCTGAGAGGAAAATCCACTCAAGTTTGCTCCTATTGCTCATAGAGTTGAGGACTGAAGTACACATCTAATCTTTTATTTCAAAGTACAGTAGGTATTAGTGTATATGTCACTTTCTCTGTGATGACAGAGACTTTTGAAAAGCTCAAGATAGATATCTTTTTACATTATCTATAATTGTTTAATTTAAATTTAATCTGATACAGCACTTTATAATATAATCATTAAAATATAAAATACAGTATAAAAATAGTTCCAACTATTAGTGCTGTCTCTAACATGGACAGTTTCTTCAGTGTTACTATGAAAACTATATCTCTTCTCCCATAATGGAAGAATGTCTGATGATGATGATGAAATCTACAGAGATGGCTAAAATCTTCATTAGAATAAAAAAACTAATATCTATATTTATGGCTAATAGGAAACCCTTTATATTTTGCATGAAACAGAAAAAAAACAAAAACAACCATGATTTGTGGTTTTAATGCTCAGAAAAAATTGGGTAACAGAAAAAAATGCACAAATAAATTGGAAAAGTCTTTCTAATCATTTTGTGGTCTTTCTGCACTTTTCCTTTTCTTCTGTCTTCCTTTGTTTGTTTTAAACTTTATTAGTTCATGTTAGTGTTTAAGGGTTTTTTATTTACAAACACATATACATATTCATATATGAGCGTATTGCTTCTGAAATAAATTATAGGCTGCCAAATTGTATAACTTAATTAACAGCCAGCTACCTTTGATATTTTGGGCATCTCGAAGTAAGTCCATGACTTCTCTTTCAGCTTCTTTCAGTCTGTCTTCAAAAGCCTGGTCAGTTATGATGTCATCACCTGTTCCTATGTTAGCTATAAGATTTTCCAGATCGCGCAGCCTCCCCCGTTGCTCCTCAACCTGAACAAGTGAGATACCCAAAGAACAAAAAATCAGTAAGAAAACTACACAGGTTTTGAAGGCGCCAGATAAAAAGAAGGATGACCAAAAAGATGTGGAAAATATGCAAAGTGGCTCAGGGATAAATATGCAGATTTCTGGAACTGTTAGAATTAAGACAGATGTAGGTTTTGTATTATTCCTGTTGCTGCTGTTGCTTTTAAGTATGTAACATATTTTTTGCTAGTACAGTGGACGGTCGCAACCAAATTGGGTGACAATCAGAATTTTTGCTTCTGGTTGCGAACAGATCTTCAGGTGGTGACCAAGCAAACCCAAAAATTGCTGTGGCGATTTTCCCTGCCGCGGCAATTTCGCCTTCGGCACCATTGGGGGGGCGGCTTTTTTGGTCCGCGCATGCCCAGATGGTCATGCTTCCAGTCACAACCAAATTGGGTTGCAACCATAGTACTGGAATGGATTACGGTCGCGACCTGAGGTTCCACTGTGTAACATTTTTGGGCCAAGCACATATGTGTATCATATTAATTTTCTTCGTTATGAAAATATGTAGGCTCCAAATTGGCAAAATTAGCTGTAAACTAGCAAATTTTGTAATCGGTATGACCTTATCTTTCACCAATCTGTAACATGCAGGACATTCTTGACAACCAGGCCAGGATCGATTGTAGAAGTAGTTTTCTTCACACTGGTCACAGCGGATTCCCACAAAGCCTTCTTTGCACTCGCAACGGCTGTCTTCTTTGCACTGAAGGGAGTGGGAACCTTCAGGGTTACAGTCACAAGCTGAGGAAACACAAGGCATTTAAACACTGAACGGGGAAGAGGCCAATGAGACAAGAACAATCTGAAAAATCTTTAATCTCGGGATATCTATTAAACCTCTTTCAAATGTCAATGGATTGGTGCTTACTATACAATGGCCTTTAGCTACTAGGAAAATAAGGCATTGCTGACTTTTACCTGTTTAAATGAAGCCAGAATTTGTACATACAGTACAGGTAGTCCTCAATTTACAATAGTTCATTTAGTGACTGTTCAAAGTTCCAAAGGCACTGAAAAAGTGACTTATGGGCATTTTTCACACTTACGACCATTACAGCATCTCCATGGTCACATGATCAAAATTCAGATGTCTGGCAACTAACTCACATTTATGCTGGTTGCAGTGTCCTGGGGGGGGGGTCACGTGATTACCTTTTGTGACCTTCTGACAAGCAAAGTCAAAGCCACATTCACTTAACAAACTGACTTAAGAACAAAGAAACTAACTTAGGAACTGCAGTGATTCACTTAACTGTGGCCCTGAAAAGTTGTAAAACGGGAGCAAAATTCACTGAACAAATGTCTCACTCAGCAACAGAAATAAATGTGGAGCTCAATTGCAGCACTAAGTCGAGGAAAACCTATGCATGGAAAGTTCTAGCACTTCTGAAAGATGAAGTGGAGCAAGGAAAGATTCTCTGATGCTGCTGTTATGAACAAACTACCACTTTGTGAAACAACAATGACAGAAAGGAGTCTTTACTAATGACACTTTGACATGTGTTTTGACACGGATGGCCACCTGCTGCAAATGGACAAACCTTGTCCTGAAGCAACCAAGAAATGATGCCTCGGGATTAATCCTGCTTGGTGTGGAAATCCATCTCTGTGAAGAGAGGAGTAAAATAAAGCTGGTGTGCAAATCAATACTTTATATTGATCCAGACACCTACCTTCATCCTAGATCCGTGATGGTGAACCTATGGGACGCGTGCCGGAAATGGCACGCAGAGCCATCTCCGCTGGCACGCGAGCCATCGCCCCAGAGCAGGTCCATTGCGCAGGCATGTGCACCACCCACCTGCTCGCCATCTGATCGTTGGGTAGCTGCTGCACATGTGCAAGGGGTGGGAAGCGCACAGGAGGTGCATGCATGCGCAGAAATGTGCAACGTGCACACGTAGGGGTGCATGCGCATGCGCAGAAAAAGGCAGCTCGCATGGGGGCACACACGCATATAGGTGTGGCGCACACATGGGGGGTCGTGCATGCATGTGCAGGGGGCATGGCCCCCCACGTGCATTGCCTTATGGTCCTTGGTACACGCGCACATGCACGCCAGGGGTGGGATTCAAATTTTTTAACAACCGGTTCTGTGGGCATGGCTTAGTTGGTGGGTGTGGCTTGGTGGTCATGTGACTGGGTGGATGTGGCTTGGTGGTCATGTTATTGACTGGGTGTGGTCAACTCAATATCACTCACATCGAGGCACGCATCTTCTCGCCTGGCCTCTCATGACTGTGGGGATGCTTTAACAGTCATAAGTGTGAAAAATGGTCATAAGTCACTTTTTTCAGTGCCATTGTAACTTTGAATGGTCACTCCACACAAGCAAAGAACCAGCAAAGGAGGGGAAAAAAAACTCCAGAGAAGTTCCTGAGACAGGAAATCTAGTCCTTCCCAAAAATGTAATAAGGGTTAATGGAGAGGCAGTTTCTGTAAGCAACACCAGAATGTTTCCTTCCTGCCTTCCTTACAGGATTAGGCCAGTAATTTCTTCTAACAACCGGTTCTCCAAACTGCTCAGAATGTTAACAATCGGTTCTAGCAAATAGGTACGAACTGGTAGAATCCCACCCCTGATGCACGCCCTTTTGGTATGCGAGGTTAGCCATCAATGTCCTAGATCTTCATGGAGGCAAATGCTGGAGAATAGATTATACAGTAGTCCTTGACTAACGACCAAAATTGAGCCCCACTTTTCTGTTGTTAAGTGGGACATCTGTGAAGTGAGTTTCACCCCATGTTACCACCTTTCTTGCCACAGTTGTTCAGCAAACCACTGCAGCTGTTAAATGAAATCGTGCCACTGGCTTTGCTTCTCAGAATCTGGCTGGGAAGGTTACAAATGGGGGTCACATGACCCCTTAACAGTGCATCTGTCATAAACACACGCCATAGTTGTTAAGGGAATCACCACAGTTGTCAAATTAGTAACACGGTTGTTAAGTGAATCCTGCTTCCCTGTTGATTTTGCTTGTCAAAATGTTGCAAAAGCTTATCAGGTGACTTTGGGACATATGAGTCAGTTGCCAAGCACCTGAATTTTGATCACATGATCATGGGGATGCTATGAAAGTCATAAATGTGAAAAACGGGTCATGAGTCACTTTTTTCCCCCCCAGTGGCTTTGTAACTTTGAACTGTCACTAAATGAACTGCTGTAAGTTGAGGACTACCTGTACTCAAGTGAAGGGGAGGTTTATTATTATCATGTGGCCCAAACCAGCATCTTCCGGATGCTTTGGGACAGGAACTCCCAGAATTTCCACCCAGACTAGTTTGCTAGTTTGGATTTTGTAGCAGCTGCTATCCTAAAATGTCTGGTGAGTGTATACAGATGAAAAATATTGACATGCCAAGAAAATAACAGCAATGAGGGATCCTGTCTAGTCCTTGTGGCTCGTTTTTTTTATCCTGTCTGATTCATCACTCTATCATGACTCTATAGTTACCTTGTGTTATTTTACCATAAAAAAAGCAATGATGCAACAAATACAACTGTAAATAGTCTGACTCTGTGCATCATACCTGTCCCACCTAGCCTTTCAGTGATTTCCAAAAATACATAGTGACCGTTCAAAGCAGTGGTGGTCTTCGACAGGTTCTGCCCAGTTCTGGCGAGCTGGTAGGAGTGATGAGCAACTCTGACCGAACCGCTTCTCTCCACCGCTCTGCTGTTGGGCCCACCCTCCCAGCCGGGCTCCTATACTGACTTTTATCTGCTGAATTTGAAGTGCAGCTGCTTTGCGCGGCATAGAAGAGTGTCACGCGGTAGCTGCTGAAGCAACCAGGATCGTGCAGGCTTGCAGGAGGCGAGTAGGAATGCCTCTGTGCCTGCACCCAAGCCACGCCCACCGAACTGATGGCAACAATATTTGAATCCCACCACTGGTTCAAAGCTACAAAAAAAATGACTTATGACTGGTTCTCCCACTTAATGACCATTGTAGCATTCCAGAGTCAGGTGACCAGGATTTGGGTCCTTGCCAACTGGCATATGTTTATGATAGTTGCACTGTCAAGGGGCAACATTTGTAGCCTTCCCAGCCAGATTGGCATGGTTCGTTTAACAACTGCAGTGATCCGCTGAACCACTGTGCCAAAGAGGTCATAAAATGGGACAAAACTCATTTAACAACTGCCTTGCTGAGCAATGGAAACGCTGGGCTCAATTGAAGTCGTAAGTCAAGGACTACCTGTGTAATGTGACAAAAGTATGTGTTTGCTGTGCATTTCTGTTGTTTAGGGTATGTTCACGTTCAAAGTTATACTTGCTATTGGCATAATTTGTGTTTGTGGTCCAAATGCCAGCTCCATTTACAAACCAGAGTATGTGAATTAGAAACTAGACTCAAAAGAATATGCTTCAATTAATTTTCCTCTTCCCATTTTGCATTTAATGACGCCAAGCTGTATCCCAACAACATTTGACACTGCCATTGCAGCTTGGCTTCCATACATTTATGATACAGAACGATGGCAATTCCTCAAAAGGAGAAGAAGGAAGTAGGGTAATTATTTTGAAGATGACAGAAGAGAATGCACCTGGCGTTCCCAAAGCCAACTCTACAAGTCCTCCTTTGCAGGAAGCTAGCATTATATATGCAGTGGATCACCACATCCAAATCTATTCATCCAAGGCTATTTTTTTTTAAAAAAATAAGGAAATGGGGAGGATTAAATAAATAGGAATGTACGTCCTAGTTTTTACACTTTCCATGTTCTCAATATGACTTAGTTGCTAAAGGACACATTCCGCAGCAACAGCGTAGGAGTGTAAGAGCCAAAAACCAGGTCAGTTCTGGGACAAAATTCAGGGCAAGTATTTATGACAAGGAGCAACAGATGGTCTACTAGTATATGCAATCCGAATGCCCTAGAGACAGAGCAAGACTCATATAACTGCAAAAACATCCTTGCTGGACTTGAAATGAGAAAACATGCAAGAGGCAGACAAAGAGGAGAAAAGAATTAAGCCTCTTGTGATGTCCAAGTCTAAGGACACATTAGTAGCGATGAAAAGATTCTCCATACAGAGCATCAGAGACAGAAAAACAAGTGGATGAGGAAAAGTTGGGACAGGAAAACAAGTGGATGAGGAAAAGTTGGGACAGGAATTAGGTCTTCCCCACTCCCCTTACGTTTGCAGCCTTCAGGACCAAATCCAAAATGGTTGGCTTCACACCTCTCACAACGCTGGCCGGTAACGCCTGGCTGACACTCGCATTGCCCGGTCTGAATGTCACAGTGGCCATTAGTGGAGCCCAGAGGATGGCAGTTACATCTAGGAGAGGAAGAGCAATGCATGCATCTCAACATCAATGAACACGGGTAAGGAAACAAGGGTGTGCCTTATGCTTGTCATGTTCTGATTTGACTAATACAGGGGTCTCCAAACTTGGCAACTATAAGGCTTGTAAGCATAGCTGGCTGGAGAATTCTGGGAGTTGAAGGCCACAAGGCTTACAGTTGCCAAGTTTGGAGACCCCTGGACTAATATGTCAATTAAAAAAAAACATGTTGCCCAAAGGGATGTAAGTATGGGATGAAAGGCAGATGTCATTTGCCTACACAGTTGGTCAAAAGGAAATGCAGCACTCAACAGTAAAGCTCCAATTAGAAAATACCTACTTTCTGTGAATTAAAGCCGTTCAGTAATGCAGTAGTTGAGGAACAATGAAGACTTTTACATTTACATTTAATATTCAAGCAAATGGTTTTAAAGTGCCTATTATAAAGTAAAATACAGGTAGTCCTCTCTTAGTGACTTTTTGAAGCTACAACCGATTCCTCCCCCTCCCCCCAAAACTACTTATGATCTGGTTCTGAAATTCCAACAGCTGCATCAACTCCAATGGTCAACTGACTGCATTTTTGGCTCATTGCAAAATCTCACTTTTATGGCCAATTGCAGTATTCAGCGGTCACAGGACCATGGTATGTCCAATGATACAGCCAATGCAAAAAGAAAAGTTGTTAAAATCGGATCCAGTCAAATGGATGCCTTGATTTACGATGTCACGATTTATGGCTGTTAAGTTGAAGACTACCTGTATTTGAACTCTTAGTTATCTTCTAAGCCTTGAGAGAATTTTGAAAGCTTGTTTGGCATGAAACGTGATTAATTTTCCTGTCCTTCATTTTAGTCCAAGGCTTTAGGCTCCATATACAACCCCTCAGAAACATTATCTTCCTCTAAACATGAACATTGACACAGATAATGTAACTTCCCAGTTATACAGTATAATAACATCTGCGGCTCCTTTTGGCTCTGGTCCTTTGCAAGCAGGACAGTCTGACCTCCGTAGCTGCAATGGAATTAAAGCAGATGAGGCACCCACACTACAGCCTGAATAAATGAGAAAGTCTGGTGTTTGTTGCTATTTCCACTCTCTTTTTGAACACAGCCAGATACATGGACTCCAGGGATGGTTAGATTAGATGGCAGGTTTTGAAAGACATCAGGGGGCGAGGACAGAGCCCCACAGGCCTCCCTTTCTGAATTTAAATATTTAAACATTTAAATATTGAAAAGAAATAGCCTCAAAGAAGCTTTGATTCTCAGATTGGTTCCTCTGCCCCCGCTTTAATGTTGAAAGTTTCTCTGTCCTTAGAGAATAGTTTGTTTTCTGTTCTTTTCCTTTTAATTGATTTGCATTGTCTTAAAGTAAAATAAGGTGAAGGTAAAAGACTCCAACTTCTGGGGACTACCAGCAGATGTCCATGCGGTTTTCTCAGGAAAGGGGTTTCCTCTTGTGTTCTGGGATGTTTTTCCACCTCCTGCTCCATCCTACCCCCTTGCTATTCTCTCTCTGCCTTCCCATTCAAGTATTAACCACACTGAACCTTGCTTAGCTTTCAGAAAACATCAAGGTTGGCTAGGTGCTGCCATCTGCTGCAGACTAATGGGAAGATCTGACAACAAAAATAAATCAATAAGTCAATTTATCTTGTATGTTTGTACACTGTTCAGATGAAAGTGTTACACAGAATAAAAATAAGATCTCTGCTTAATTGAGTTAGCAGTTTAAAACGCACCAGTGGCAGGAGAAGCAAAAGTAACTGGGGAAGAAAGTGCACACGTGTCATTTCATGTATTGAGGCTTCATTTCAGGAAAGGTAGGGCGATATTGGGGATTTTTTTAGGAAGGCATGCAAAGCATAAATCAGGGGTCCCCAAACTTGGAAACTTTAAAACTTGTGGACTTCAACTTGTGGATTCTCTTAATCTTTTAAGAGAATTCTTTTAATTCTCTTAAAAGTTGCCAAGTTTGGAGACCTCTGGCATAAATGGTCTGACGGGAGGCAATCTGCTGCAGATAGCTTTCTATAAAAGTCAATTTGTAAATTTTAACAGCTGCTTTTAACAAAAGCTCCTCTACTCTTGGGAAACCTCCCTGATGATGTCTCATCCATCCAGACCACCAGTGTTCAATTCCGATGTCAGGAAAGAAGAAGATCTCACCTTTCACAGCCACGCCCACTTTGCAGGTTGTAGAAACCTGGTTCGCAGGAGCTGCAGTCCCTCTCTGTGACGTGTGAAAGGCATTCACACTGGCCTGTTACTTGATTGCAGCTTCTCTGCAAATTTGCTGTGCCGTAAGGATTACAATTGCAAGCTACAAAAATAAAAGCATAAAAGGCATCGGGATGGGTTTTCCAACCAGAAGGAATTCAGAGGGCAGTTGCAGGAAGCCTAATTCCCATTTTCACACTTTGGAAATAGTAACCCCTTTGCCTTCAAGAGGGCCATTAGGCAAAGGAAATGTAACAGCTCCAATTTAGTATTTAGTCTCTTTGCTCGTCAAATATGTGCCTACATATTGCAGTGCATCTCAGTGGGATAGGTTAGAAAGAATACTTGGCACGATTTATAAACAAAGTGTTCTGCCAGAGGTGGGGTGGGGGAACCATTTCTTCTGACCACATCACAAACAATCCATAAATACACAAGTTGGAAGCCATAATCCCTCTTTGGTCAAGCATTTGGATGGAACAACTGAATCTTCCACTCTCTCCAGGTTCCACAAATTTCTGCAGCCATTGACTGATTGGGAGAGGAGGACTTTATGCTACTTTCAGGGTGTAACTGAGACATCTTTCTAGCAGTCAATTTTTTGTGTCTGGCAATTTCAAATATTAAAAAGATGCCTCAAAAGAAAAGTTAAGAGGGTTGTACTTTATTTTACCGTGTTTCTCACAAAATAAGGCCGGGCCTTATTTTTTTTTGACCCCTGAAAAAACAGGTAGGCCGTCTTTTCGGGGTTGACTTAATTTCCTCCCCCACCTAGAGCGGCCCATACACACGTACCTCGCCACGAGGCTGCTTCTATTGGCCGACAAAAGCTCCCCGAAGGCAGAGTCCCCAGCTGCTTCAGGGCGTGGTGTGGCTGCCCGTGTCCCCTCGCCTTTAGGCAGTCTCTTTTGGGCGATGGAAGCTCCCCAAATGCAGTCACCAGCTACTTCAATCGGCTGGTAGAAGCGGCCTCACAGCAAGGGGAGTGTGTGCCACGCCTCGCCCCAAAACGGCTGGGGACTCTGCTGTCAGGGAGCTTCTATCAGCTATCGGGGTATTCTAGCCTAGGCTACCTGCAGGACACTCCTGAAGGCAAGTTTTCTCCCCATCCCCCCCGCCTTTCCCCCACCCATTTCTCTTCACTTCGTGTAGTTCTAACAAACGATATGAGAAATGGCGGGGAAAAGCATGGTTTGAATAGGCCTAAATTTTGGGGGTGGGGCTTAATTTCACCTCATGCCTAGAAATCATGCTGGGCCTTCCTATTGGTGGAGGCTGTCTTGTTGGAGAAACACGGTACTAAATTTGCTCCTTTACATTAACATGAGACTTTAATACTAATTAGTTTAGAGGAAAGCTACCAAGATGGTGAGGGAACCAAGTTCTATGAGGAAGAGTAAGGGACCTATCTTTCATTCAGCAGACTCAAAGATTCCAGCAAAGCTTCTGTGCAAACCTTACAATTTCTGGACAATTTCTGTAAGAATAGTTCTATGAGCACGGCTTCTGAAGGTCTTTGCTTGCTCATAAGATACTGGTTCCAAGGCACATGCCAAATCTTCTGTTACATTACAGAGGCAGAAGAAACAACAGCTGCTGAAAGTACTGGGAAGCATCTCCCAGCTGATCCCCTAGCCAAATAATTGGTGGGGGGGAGGAGAGAGCTTTTCTCCTGAAGAAAGGGGCAGACTGATGTCATAGAATTGGACTTTTATGCATTACTGAGGAAAAAAACCCACCTACCTGAGGAAAGGAAAAAAGAAACCTTGCCCTTTAAGGAATAGACAAAGTTATTTTCTTTTGTGGATTCAAATTTCCCGGCTGGGAGAAATGCAAAATGATTTGGTCAGCTGCGTTGAAAGTCAGAATCAGTTTATTAATAGGAATGCAGGTAAGAAATCTCACAGCGTTCCTAGGATTAATCTAATAAGTGAGTAGAGAAACTCCTTTTTTATACCCTTCAGATCCTTTGATTTTGTAAGTGTGAACCCTTGAAGTCTTTGATTTGTATGTGCGTGATGAGTTCCTGTTGATATTGGGATCTCTTCCTGGGATCTTGGTAACTGTTTTTTGTAGCTGTTTGTTACATTAGGTTGCAATATCCTGTTATGCCTTTTGATTTGCTTTTCACAAGTTTTTATAACTTGCCATCTATTTGATTTCTATGGGAAAGGATCTTAGCTAGTTTGTAGGGTTTTTTTTTCTCTGTATCTCATGCCTGTAATTTTCTCCTTCCTTTGTTGTGAAAAGTAAGCTGGCTCCAGCTATTTTAATAGCCCTACTTGACAAAGGGTGGGGGCTGTTTCCCTAGAAGAGGTGGGGGGAATCGTAACTTCCAACATACCTTTGCACTTATCCTCTGGATTCTGAGCTAAGGGATTCCCAAAGAAACCATCTTTGCATCGGTCACAGTAGAAACCAGCTGTGTTGTAAATGCACTTCAAACATTCTCCTGTCAAGCGGTTGCAATTCCCAACTGCATTGGGATCAATGTTGTCACTGCACTGGCAGAGGCGACATTGCCTGAAGGGGCCATTTTGGCCAAGAGGATCTCCAAAGTAACCGTCATCACACAGCTCACACCTTTTACCTGTAGGTCCAGGAAACAGGTATATCAGAACATACAAAAAATAAATACTGTAATCCATGCAACAACAAAAAAATGACTAAGGTAGAAAACTAGCTGAGAAATTATGGAAAACTTCCATTTTTCAATCTCAACAGTGAAGTGTTAACAGAACTGTAGCCAATATGGGCTCAATGAAAAGCACAGACTTCAAAAGGAATGCTGAAGCTTTCAGAAATAGTACTGGTAATCCTTGACTTGCAACCACAATTGAACCCCAAATTTATGTTGCTAAGTTGTTAAGTGAGTTTTGCCCCATTTTATGACCTTCCTTGCCACAACTGTTAAGTGAATCGCTGCAGTTAAGTTGGTAACACGATTGTTAAGGGAATCTGGCTTCCCCATTGACTTTGCTTGTCAGAAGGTTGCCAAAGGGGATCTTATGACCCTGAGACACTGCAATCATCACAAATACGAGCCGGTTGCCCAGCACCCCAAAACAAATCATGCGGCCATAGGGATGCTGCAATGCGACCATAGGGATGCTGCAATGCTCATAAGTGGAGAAAATGGTTATAAATCTCTTTTTTTCAGTGCTGTTGTAAGTTCAAACAATCACTGAATGAACTGTTGTAAGTCGAGGACTACCTGTATTTGAAAAACCCAATAAATCACTAAGCTGTATTCTTGCTCACTAAGCACACATCTCAATGAGGACTCAGCATCCTTCGGAGGCATATGTACTGGGTCAAAAAAGAAGTGAAACAGGAGATAAGACGATAACAAGACCCTGACATAGATGTCACGTCAGTTGGATTAGAAGACCTTCCAGCCCTATGATTCTATCTATAGTCTATGAATGGCTAGAAATCTGAAGGAAACTTTCCCGAGACCTGCTTGTTTGTTATTCAGATTATTATTATTTTTTGGTATAGAGACAGAAGCACAATTTGGCTTAGCAGTAATACATCAGTTATAACAACAAAAAAGGAAGAGAAGAAAAAAGCTTCTCCAAAGCCAATGAAAGCACTTAGGAAATAAGGATTGCATTTTCCATTCACAAATCCAGTATTTTAACCAGACCCTTTGGAAATAATGCTCCAATTATTAAAACACCGACTGCAAAGCACTGAAAATGACCCTTGAGGCAGTCCAGACATAAAACTCCCCTCTGTAGTTTCATGAAATGACTACGTTGCAACCTCTTTAAACAAGACTTAACTTGGGCAGCCACTAGAAAAGTTGCCAAGTTTCTAGCAATAGCTATGGCTTGCAAAAACTAGTTGGCCTCTTCCCTTCATTGTTAATTGTTTCATGTTTGGTTTCCCTGTATTTTAAGTTTTGTATCTGTGTTTATTGGTGTGAAGATGGTGATGATGATGGCAAAAAGAAATAGAAGGAAATGCTAAATAATAAAACAGCTACAGTAAGTTTCTTTTAAAAACAGTTCTTACTGATGAAGGGAAGTGAAGGGGAAAAAAAAAACATAATGGCAGATTGTCATGCAATATGGAGTTCAAGTAACCTACAGAAGAAAAACCCATAAATTCATTGATTTTTGAAAATGGGACTGTACTTACTTTGACCAAGCTATAGCTGGTGACAAATTCCAGAGTTAAGAAGCAGAGCAAAAACAAAGAAAAGGCAAAAAGTACATAAACCATCATCTGACAAGAAGTAACATTAGAAGAATGGAAAGATCAAAAGTTAAATGGAAACCAGTTTAATAACACAGTGCAATACCGTTTCAAAGGAACTTCCTTAAACACTCTTTCCCCAACCTGAGCATTCTCCAAATGTGCAGGGTTCAATTTCTAGAATTTCTGAGCTAGCAGAGCTACTACTGACAATTTTAGTAGTTGAAATTCACACAGCTGAATGGTGCCAAATTTGGGGAAATCTGGGATATAAGAAACAAGACTTAACAGCAACATTAAGAGGAAAAAAAGCACAATTCATTTTATAATCTAAGAGGGAGGCAAAAATATTTGGGAAATAGGTAGATAAAGGAAGAACCCATTTATCATATATTTAGTTGGAGGCTTTTTGCTCTATATATCATAGAATATTTATGTTAATGGATTCCAAATGTGCATTAGGTTACCTGGATTTTTCCATTTTTTTAAAATGGTTTTGTTTAAGTGCATAGAGCTCCTATACAAAATGGGATAATTTATAGACTGGGATCACCCATTTAAAATTTTGAAAAGCGTAAGCGTGCACTAAGCTCTGGATGCCACATTTCTATTAAAACCCATAGCTTCTAGGTAGGTAATGATTATCTAGCAATCGACTGACAGGAGAGAAAATAAAGTGTTAGAAGCAAAGGACCTTCCGAGAAATCAGGATCTCAGCCTGAAACGTGGCTGTTCAGACTGATAAGGAAAAAAGAAAGAACACTGCACACAGCCTCGACAAATCCAGCATTCAGAAAGGCACAGGAAAGTTGATTTTGTGTTTACTTTTATGACTCAGACAAGTTGGGTCATGGACAGACACTCTGTGCAACCATCTGAAAGCTGCCTCTCCTAAGAGTGACACATTTGCCAAGATTGGCCAATTTCTTTATTCCTTGGGGCCAGCTCTAACATTGTTTCAGTCATAAAACAAGGAAAAAGGAGTATGATTTCTTCCACCAGCTGTAATGGTGGAGGGGTCCAAGCATTTACTGAGGCCATTGTTAAAAGGCTATTTTTCTTATGCTTTCCTGGAAACTTGCCATACATATTTTTGAAACAGCTTTTCCATTTTAATGGGCTCTAAGGTTGATTTCTCCACTGAACAGATAACCAGGATTAATGTATAAAATTCTACTGGGGAAATAAATCATTTGAGGGAGGGAGGGAGGGAGGGAGGGAGAAAGGGAGGAAGGAAGGAAGGAAGGAAGGAAGGAAGGAAGGAAGGAAGGAAGG